TGGAAAATCACTTTTCTCAACAGAGAGGCATGTACCTTGTATCAGTTAGATCATTTCAAACCGAGATCTGTGCTCGTATACACCACAGTTTTGCCGGAGTTGATTGACGGGTGGGAGACGCGAGAGCTTTGCTCGAGCTTCCTCAACACCTGTCAATCAACTCCGGCAAAACTGTGGTGTATACGAGCACAGATCGAGGATTGGATGAGCTAACTGACTTGTACAACGCCTATTATGTATGGGAGGCGGGAAAATTTTAAAGTTTTAACGACCGTTTCATTCTCAGTCTAGTTACCAAAATGAGTGCTATTTATAATAACTGTGTTTTCTACAATAATGAATCTAAATCTGTAAACATTTTTGGAACTATAACTTTCATTATTGTGTAAATTTTAAGGCACATATAAAGTACATGTATACGTTTAATTCTTTTTCATTTAATACAGCATTTTGTTCTCATAAATTAAAGAGTTGGTCAATTTCAGCTTGTAAATTCATTTGAAACCATTAAAACTGTAGAGGTTAAATTTCCTTGTTGCAAACCTTGACTGACATAAATTGTGTACAATGTTGAACAATGTTGAGTTCAGTCCTCTTGCCGTGGGGCGTGGCTTTAAGGAGCCAATGGCAGACGAAATCTGCCTTCAACACAAAACTTTTGTCTTCCAGCACATACACCACGGGTAAGATCAAAGGAACCGACACTCAGGCGTGGTACAAGGGTCTTCAGCTAATCCAAATTATAACCAGTATAGATCGGCCACAAACAGTATCATTCTTGGTCAGAACGCCATCTCTAACAAGGCAAACACATCCATGAGAAAACGTTCAAAGAATGATTCTGCATTTCCGTTTTCATCACTTTGCAAGAAATTAAGATCATAAAAACAATTATCAAAAGAGTCTCCTTCAATTGCGTAACATGACTTCATAAACGTTTGCAAGCCCAAATATTGTAGTGCACATCTTAAATATTAACACAGTGGACAGTGCCAAGTAATGTCTTCGGCAGAATATTTACCCCATTGTTCATCACCCAAGCCTCCACAAGAACGATGAAACCACCTCTCACATTTACTGCACCCTATCCAAGGCTCATCATCTTCTTTATGGTACATTACTTCACAGATTGCACAAAAGTCATCATCAATTTCTTGTTCCTCTGATTGTCTTCTCAAAACAGTTTTCTTTCCTTTCCAATTCTTCCTTCCCTTTCCTTTACTTTTGCCTCCCGTTTCGGTTGTTTCTGCCTCTGTACATTGTGAAAATGTTCCTATGTTTTAAGATGTCCCAGTTTCTGGCCCTGTATCCAATGCAGCTGTCAGCCTTGCTAAAGTACTTCCCTGAGCTGCGGTAAGTGTTTGACTTTGGCAAGTAAACACATCCTCATTGATCAGTTCATCAGATTCTAAGATTTGCTGAGCTAATTCATCGATTAGTATGTCCTTCTTCTTCACGAACAACAACCTGCAGCCACATGCAGATTCTACGACTAACAGTTCACTTTTGGCAAACACCATTAACCTTTTTGGGTCAGTCATAACGGCTCTCTTGAGTTGCAAATGTGAAGCCTGACCTTCAGGTGTTTTGTCGTTTTTCAGACTGTTGAAGGTCAGCAGCGATGAAGATGAACTTGAAGCTTGCTTGAGGGGAACTTGTTTCCAGCTGTGTTCCATTGTTTTTTCAGGCCCCCATCAGCAAGGAATATTCTCACAAACTCAGTGTTCCCCAACACTTCAGGGTTTCATACACTGATGGGCTTTCTGAAGGGAACCACTCCAAACTGAACTGCTTGAAGTGGCTGCAAAAAATGAATAAACAGTTTTATGTCACTGAGCAATGTATCATGAATGGGCTGCAGTAAGTCAGACGTGTGCACCTGTAAATGGACTGGCAAGCACAATGGACGTCGCTTCTTTTCCAGAGACAGAAATAATTCAAATAAGCTGTCAATGATGTTTGTTAGGCCAGATCACACGTTCTGCTTTCTTGATATTTCAGTCATGCTTTCGGGGTATAATGTATTCTGACTGATGTCTTCTTGAGAAGTGGTAAGTGTTTTCATTAGATCAAGTATTATTTTACTTTCAGTGTCCACCACACAAAACGAGTTTAACGACTTGTTTACAAGCTTCTTGTGACTATGGAACACCTTCCCCACAGCATAGCCCCCAACATACCGGATTTTGCAGAAGGCAGATGATGGAATGTTAACATGGGTGACCGGCTTTCCTCCATTGGTACAACACACACACACCTTTTTTCGCAAATAGGTTAGTACTTGACCCATAAGAAGCTTGTTGACTGCCCCAGGATGGAATAGTTTTGGGAAGCATTTTTGTAATCTTCCGATGACGAGTAACCATGAAATTCTTTCTGAAAATCCATAGTTCTGTAACTTTCCTTTGTTGATCATTATAAAACTTCTGTATGTGGGACGCAGAACTAGTGACGTAGGAAATGGCATCTGTCATTTCTTTTTGTTGAGGGGTGACTTGTTTCTTGGGTGAAAGAGCAGAATTAACTTTGATAACTTCTCTTTCTGTCAGCTGTTTGGTGGCCCCGGCATCAGATGTGGCATCCATATGGAACCGGAAGAGAATTAGAACTATCTATCATTAATATATACAAGAAGGTAATTCGTGATTATTATCTCATGAATGAATTTGCAATATCTTCCCATCCAAAAAAAGGACTTTCCCTTAGCAAAAGTAAAAGGGATCAAGTAATCTTTCTTTTAGCATTTCTGAGCTTATTAAGCAAGTCAATGTCAGTATGATGTAATGATAAGGAGATGTCCCATTTTGTGTGAAATTGCAAAATTCAATGGTTAAGAAGTGAGATATACTTTAATCAAATATATTTACATTCCATGATGGCATATGAATTTGCATTCATATTAAATTCTTCTTTAGGCAATCTTTACTGTAGAAGTCATATTTACCTGCGATGTATCTGTGTCCATAGGTTGTTGAAGCATAGATTCATCATAATCACCTAGATGTTCGTAAAAAAGTTTAACACAATCATCATTATCATTCCATTCAATTTTAACTAGTACTGTGGTTCCACTTTTAACATGGTCACTGTACTAGGTTTTAGCTGTAAAGAAGAGTAAACCATGTATCCCAAATATGTTATATATATCCCATATTTAAACTTAAAAAATATTGGTTTCACACAAGGCACAAGTACAAATTTGGTTTAAATTCATATATTATAAATAAATATCTCATAAATGTACAAAATTACATTCTAGGTACTAAGATAAGGAAACCCGAAATGATAACATTTATATACAAACAAAACTGTTAGAGTAAGTAACAAATGATTTATCCTCGACTCTACAGTGATCCATGTTTATTTAAGATCTGAGAGGAAGCATTTATGAATTCTACTATTTCACAACAAATTCAGAAGAAATTTAAATGCAGGAATGTTAAGATATATTTTCATACTAATGTACCGATACTTTCAGACAATATGATTATCGATCTACCTTTTTCATAATGATATATTTTGAAAGTATCGCCAGTCAGATTACTGGTATCTACATTCAATTACACTGGATCCAAATATTCAAAGTTGGATGATGGTTGATATGCAAATGCTGATTGATTTATATTAGTGTATCATTTCCAGAGACCGCCTCCGTGGTGTAGTGGTTAGAGCGTCCGCCCGGAAGGCGGATGGTTGCGGGTTCGATCCCCGACTGCATCATACCAAAAGACGTTAAAATATGGTAATTTTTGTTGGTCCCTGCCTGGCGGTCGGCATTAATGGGTACAGCAAGGATTGGTCGGCTCGGAGTCAGTATGATGTGTCTGAGTGGGGTATTCATGCTTCACACCGGCATGGTATCTCAGCAGGCTAGCACTATAAAACCAGCTTCAGTCAGGGCTAGTACAAGCAGCCGCCCATACACATACACACGTCGTCATATGAGCGAAATATTCTCAAGCACGACGTTAAACCCAATTTCACCTCACATCACCCTCACCGTGGTCTAGACTACCAGTTGTCCGACTTACATTATCATTAGGGCTGCACGGTATTACCGGTATACCGCAATACGAAATTGTAACAATTACGTGCGATACGTTTATGACGTACCGGTATACCGCCAAAGATTTATTTGTACGATTTTAACCCATTCAACACCGCACATAAGCAGATTGGGGATACCCTATCTGGTGTATGTATGGACCCATCCTGGGTATTACACCCCGACTAAGTGAAAAATGCGCCCTATCGAGCCCATAAAAAACGGCAATTTCACCATCCGCGGCGCTCACACGGAACGTCGCAGTATGGTGAGGTTATTTTTGCTTAGTACGGTATTCCTCGTAACCATACCGCATGCATCAACAGTCCCACATTGCTCCATCAACGCTACGCTATCGCTAAACACGACCACTATCACATCATTCTGAATAAAAAATGGCCATAGTTTCATCAGTATTGACTATACAGCAACCATTTTCACCTCAAACATCGCCCTCATGCCCTGCAACACACCAGGACCTCTCCATGCGTCGTCCTCGTTGCATATCCAGTAATGGCGGCCGCTGACTGAACGTCATCACCCAAAGTACACAAATCTACGAAGGGCAAAAGGGAAACTGATCAGTTCATCTTTGGTTTTACACACTAATTTGTCTTTCGCCTGCCTGTCCTCTGGTGTGATGTATATGCGCATCACGGGCGTTCCTCTACGACTGAAATCTCCAGTCAAAGCGATACTTCAGTAAACACTATACAACATGTATCCCTTCTGAGCATTTGTTTAGTTATACCAGCCTATCATCCTTTTTCTATAAAGGTACACATTTCAATATGAGGAAAATTACCACATTACATTATTGCTTTCTTTAATGGGTCCCATTATTACTTGCAAATGCAATGGTAATTACATGTTCCAACATATTTCATTCCTTATTATTTTAGCTTTTTTGAAGTCAATGTATCATTGACCCAAAACCAATATATTAATATATCCTCGCGTAACCGGTTTTCGAACAGATAAGGCGACGGCGTTTTTAAAACATCAGTAATTCAGCGGACAACAATAAAATACGTTTCCTACCTTAGCTGACACATTCCAGCAGGCAATAAGCACAAATTCCAATGTCAGAAACATCCTCGTTAAAAAAGCGCGGCTGCCATTTGCATGCGATGTCAACATCCGATCAATGAAGTGACGTCACCAGTTTTCGAACACTGATTGGTCAGTCCGATAGAAGGGTTTCCCGAGGAATGTAAGGCGATGTACGGTGCTCCGTTGGGGACATTATATCGTCAGAAATCACAGTAAAAAGTTCACACAGTTCAAATACGAAGATTTAACGTCAGAAAACTGTGAAATGCACACAAAAATATTTACATCAGTCTTTTCTTTGAATAAAGCACATTTAATCTTCTCTTTCATCATGACATGGGCACCAATATTCTGATTTGCAACGCACAGTTTTAACTGGAGTGCAAAATCCAAGATGTACCAGGTGTTGGCAAGTAGGATGTGTACATTGAGCCCACTTCACGAATATGAGGGAGACACAGCTTCTAACCTCAACTGGCTGGAACAGTTTACACTTGCAACACACTTCCTCATCATCATCAACGATTTCTGAGTCACTGTCAGACACTTGCAAAGTTTTCTTCATGTTTGATGATTTGGTCCCTGATGTTCTTGGCAATGGTTCAGCAGATTTTCCGGTAGATTTTCCCCTTGTCTTTTTCAGTGGTGGTGGATGAGCAGCTTCATGGTCCTTCATCTTCTGCAATGTGGCTGTTTCAGTAATAGCTTTTCCTCCGACAATTGCACTCATCACATTTCTCTTTTTTGTGGGGTTTGGATCCTCAAAGATTACATTATCAAGCCGTTGGAAAAAGTTTGAGACTGTTGTTTTTGAAGTGGTTTGCAGATTGGTTTCTCTTTGGGTTGACAATTCACTTGCCGAGGTGGTTAACAGGACTATTGTTGCTTTTGTTTGATTCTCTGTGCCTGCCATGGCTGCATTCTCTGTCTTCTTGTACACTGTAGCTGGTACGAAATTGATCTTGTTAACAGCATGCTTGTCGAATGGTGATATTCCACATTTACGAAAAAATGCTTGAATGTTGGCTGGTGTGAGAGCAGCTGAATATGCCTTGCATCCTAATCTGCAGATCGAATGTTTCTGGACTCTCTTAGCTGCATTTTCCCGCAGATACTCGTGACGGATGTTACAATATATCCTCTCAAAAGGACCAAAACATCCAACATCCATGGGCTGTAAAATGTGTGAAGTATGGGCGGGAGGTACAAACAGAATCAAGTTCCGTTTTCTTGCCCATTCACTCAAGGCCACTGAAACGTGAGAACGATGGCCATCAAACAAAATCAAGACAGGCTTCTCCTTAGTGGCTGGCATGCTGTATTTCAGGAAATGGTCACTGATATAGTTCCTGAAAATCTGGCTGTTAGACCATCCTGTTTCACTAACAGTTCCAGCAGTTCCAGGCAACGATCCTTCAAGGAGCTCCTCCCTCATTCTCTGTCCCTTGAACATGAAGAAAGGTGGTAAAGCATTACCAATAGCATTAGCACATCCAATCACAGTTGTAGTACTTGATTTTGGAAGTACAACTTGGGGCCACATCACTTGATGAGACGACTTTTGTGTGTGTGTGATGCTCCATCAAACCTTTCTCATCTAGATTATAAATCCTCTCTGGACTGTTCTTTAGATCGTACAAATCCAGTATGGTTTCAAGGTGAGAGTAGTAATTGGCCACATTTTCTTCAGTCGTAGCTTTCGCTCTTTGAAGTTTCAGTGATTTTGGTTGTTGAACATTTAAGTCGGGCCACCTCTTCAAGAAGGCATAAAACCATCGCAGTGACAGCTGCTTACCATCCTCTATTTTCCCAAGGGAAACTCCAAGGTCTGTTGCTATGGTGATGACATCATTGCGTGTATAGCCAAATCCATATGATCCCATACTTTTTACATGATCAACCAACTTTTCCTCTTCCTGTCTGTTAAATAGAGGTTCAGGACCCGGTCTTGTGCATGTTATGTCGATCTTGCCACTTAATCTATCATGGAGAGTAGATACAGGGATCCCAAACAATCTTGCGGCTTTCCTGATTGCCATACCATCCTTCAGCACAGCTGAATATGCCTCAGTTATATTTTCATCAGGATAACCTCTATACTTCGTTTTCTCAGCTGAAGGGATAACCTGAAAGAGAATTTAAAAAAAAAATTCAAATCATTCCAAATTGATTACACAGAAATCGGCACATAAGATATGACCGAACTGAGCTTACATAGATTTAAAATTTTGACAGGGCTTCCCCCGATTTGACAGTCACGTGACTTTCACTTGACATGTAAACATTGCAGACGACGCTTCACATTGAGGTTTGCGTGGTGTTTCAAAGATATCCTTACATTTAAAAATTGATATGCATTCAAGAAAAGGATGCATGCATAAATTGCACCATGTTTACAATATTTTCAAAGTGACACTTACCTTTGGAAGCTTCACGCGAAGCATTTTGTCGGAGCTGATGCGAGGGAATTCCTGCTGTCAATTCGGCTGCTCGGTGACGTCACATCACTCGTTATAATGCTAGAAACCGCGAACAAAATGGCCGTTCGAAAATAGGAGTCGTTCGAAAACAGGTTACGCGACGATACCTGTATAAAGCTCTGTTTTGCTTACACAAATCCACACAGTGAACCAATTCCTTGTCCAGAACCATGGTTGGATGAAGGCCTATAATTCACAAAACATTAATGAATTTCATTTCCTGTATGAAAAGCGAAAAAATTTACTAAATGTATCATGAACTAAAGACTTTTTGTTAATGATTTGTATTGACTTCCAACGTAAGATATATTAACCGTATATTACACTTGGACCATATAAACGATATTGACAATTACTTATATCAATGGTCATATCATCCTTTATACTGTTACCTGTATGAATGCCATCTTTGAGTGGGTCAGCCAAATAGTTCATGGAGCGCAACCAACAACGCCATCCCATGATTTCGGGGGCCATAGTCCTTGTTGTCATGGTGGAAAAGGAATCTACGTCGTGGATTCCTATCTCCTTGTATACAGTTTCCCGCATCTACATGGAAAATAATGAACTTTAAATAAGAATTTATATTCTATTCCCACAACACTTATATATTTATCATTGCAACATACAATAAGGCCGGGTTTTTTTATTAATTGGGTTTTATTAATTGGTTTACGGATCCGCCGACCCTAATTTTTGGCAACGGCAAATCAAAATAAAATTTCAATGAGAAGTGTTTTTTATTACCGCCGAGTGCTGGGTATCAAAACCTACATTAAAAAAAAGATCGACTGACATACCCGATATTAAAATCATTCGTCTATCTGCACTGGTTCAGAAATAAATATTTCACTTGTAGTAAAATCGCGGGCACGAACTACGAATCAATATATTACCTGAAACCGAAACCAGTATGAAAGGGAGGTAACTCCGAATCGAAACCCTACATCCGGGAATTTCGTAGATCCAATGGAGGCGGGAAACCAACTTTTTTTTTCCACGCGTCTGTTTTCAGTGGGAAAACAGCGTCGGAAAAGAAGTTTTTGTCCGCCAAAGGAAATCAAATGCAGCGCAACTGCAGATGGCCAGTTCAACGGAACTGACACGCCTGTGTCAACCCCAGTTCAGACGCTCGTTGGATTTGGCAGTAAATATCTGTACATATTTACATCGAAGCAGCTTGAAGAAAAAAACAAACATTTCCAGTGGTCAAGAAATGCATTTGATGTTCTGCTGTCGGTGCAAAAGAAATACAACTGCCTTCCGGAAAGAAGGTATCGTTTTTAAAGATCACTTTAACATATATCCTTGTATTTCACTTAAAACTGTTAAATATAAGTTTGTTAAATTTCTTGTACATAATTGTCAATTTGTCATCGATTCAGAACACTTTTATGATAAGATGGTACACCTACAGAATACCGGATACCTACCAACCATATTCTTTGTTAGCACGCGCACTTCCTATTATAGGGAAGCACGAGCTATATTATTCGAAACAATAAGCGAGCATTAAAATGAAAAATAACCATTGAAATCGGATTGATTGAGACGACGTCCGGTTAGTAAAACTAACAAACGATTTTTAAAATGAAAGGTAAGTTATCACAAATAAAAAATATATGCGCCTTTGAAAAAAACGGACCTACGGAATTCTGGGAGTTGGAGCGAATGAGCGTGGGAAATTTCTGAAAGGTAAGTGTTCAGTGATTGGTCAGTTTGTGTCTACGTCATAGCCTAGTAACGGCCGTATTTGGAAGTCTACAACTACTACTCGGCGTTCAGAAGATGCGATTGTGGGATGTATTCAAGTTATCGGAAGACAAAGTAGAACTTCATCGATTTTTAAGAAACAAGGGACTTTTTGGAAACTGCAAAGACAATTTGTGTTGGAAATGTAGCAAGAAATCGTGGGGCAAAAAACTTTCTATTCGCCACAATTCGTGGTTTGAAAACAGCAAATTAGATTGTGGCAAAATTTTTTTGCTCACATATTGTTGGATTTTCAAGTTGTCTCAAGATTTTGTACGTCGGGAACTAGACATTTCGTCTTGCACCACTTCTGTAGACTGGTACCAGTTCTGTCGCGAAGTGTGTGTTGTTGTTGCAGATTCTGACAGTGATAGGATCGGTGGGGAGGGAATAATAGTGGAGATTGACGAATCAAAGTTTGGAAAAAGAAAATTTAATCGAGGAAAAAGGGTTGACGGTCAGTGGGTTTTCGGGGTAATCGATCGGGAATCCAAAGGCTGTTTTTTTGCATGTGTGGACAAGCGTGACTCTGAGACACTAATTCCGATATAAAGAAATACATCAAACCAGGCACCACAATAATAAGCGATTGCTGGAAAGCCTATGACTGCTTGAAGCATGAAGACTTTCTCCACTTGAAAGTGAATCACTCGATCCATTTCAAGGACTCCGAGACGGGAGCACATACTAACACCATTGAGTCCTCTTGGGGTGCTTTGAAAAGATCTCTTCCACGATCAGGCACTACTAAGGGGTTGTATTCGTCTTATTTTAAAGAATTTTGTGTAAGAAGGAAGTACTTGAGTAACAGGGAGGACATGTTTATAGCTTTCTTGGAGCTCATCAGTCGTGTATATAAACCCAATGACAGAGATGATGAAATTGTGCATGTGAGACGCCCCTTCGCTCCCCTGCAACCCGATGCTGACGACAGTGCTGACGATTTCGTTCTGTGAAGGTAAGCATCATATCTAATGTCTAATCTAACCCTAAACCTCGTAATGTCGAGTATGCAACATAAACAAAACGCCGTTACTAAGGAACTCAGTTGCGCACATTTTGTGCGCAGTTCTAAAATAAGCTTTCCAAGATGGCGGAAGGTATTCTGTAGTCTTGCCGATAAGATTTCAGTTTGATTTCATAAACGTTATCTAATTTGTGAAACAGAATGAGCGTTTTTGTTTTATATCGTGAGTGAATAATTGTCTTTACTATTTCAGCTTGAAATAGAGGTATATCAACAATTAACTTTTGCCTTCTTTTGTATATTTAACTTTTAATACAGTTCTGTAGGGTAATAAGCACCCATATAAAGAAATGAACGACGTTTATCAATACCTGTCAAAATTTCCCACATTTTAAAAAATTTGACGCCTCCATTATTTAAACACTGTTACTTGTGGGTTTATTTATGTGTGGACAAAATTTAATGAGGCATCAAATATCCTCATTTAATATTATTTCATATTTGTGCATATCAAATACCCTACATGGCTGTACTATGTATATAAATAGAAACTAGGCCTAGTAGATAGCACAGAATACCCTTGCTTTGCCTTCTCTTTCCCATCTGTCTTTTCCATCTGTCTTTTATATCTTTTTTTATGTCTTCGTCAATCTTTTCACATATTCTGATATATTAACATATAACAATAGAAAAGCACTCTGTCTCTGCTCTGTTCCCTCTATTAATATATTAGGCCAGTGGAAAAGGTCGAAAACCCGGACATTTTACCTAACAACCAAATTTTATGTGGATTCATTACGTCATACTATAGGTAACTCCTGGTCAAAATCCAGACAAAATCAGACATGGGGAAACTTTTTTATGAGCCTTCAAACATAGCTCATCCAGTATAGATCAATATGAGGAATTTGACGGTTTTCGTCCAAACAAATGAATACAGTATGCAGTTTCTGATAAACCACTGATAACAATTACCTTCATATTTGGTAACCATAAGTGTATAGTTAATTCAGAGTTGTCAATATACCAGTGTGACCTTGACCTAAATGTCAAGGTCGCACCAGGCAAAATACCGTGATTACATGAGTTGAGAAAATGGCACTGGGGTTTAACTTTTATGGTATATTGACGTAAATTGCTGATGCCAATTTGTTTATGCTAAACATGAGATGAAACAGGGATTCCATTCTAATAATATGAAGTCCCTCACATTTCAAGGTCACACGTATCATGTCATATCATACCATCTTAATGAGTATCAATCATCGTCACCAAAAGATCCATTGCCACATGCACCTTCACATTTGCAATGGATACTGCATGAAAGCCCCCTTTTCACACAACTGCATGACCGACAGAGTTTATTTTGGGATTTACAGCAGCATCTGACCTCCTTCAATAGATATGCAGGGACAGGGGCCCGATCCGTGATAACAGGAATAACATGGCCATTGTCACACTTGAATCCATACTGTGATTTGTCGAGTACTGTTGCTAGATTCTTCCATGTGCTGACTTGTAGTTTCACTCTCTGTGAATGGAAAAAGGCAGCACTGCTTGTAGGTGGCATCCTTTCAATACTGATATGTCTTGATGACTTTATGTTCATGAAACGCAGTTCATCAAGTTTCAGGCCGTTCCTGCCACTGTACAGTCCAGCTACATACTGCTCACCAATTTCCCCAATCACCTCTTTTGGAACTGATGCTTCACCAAACATGACATACCTTTCATGAAATCCATGAGCCCAGTTAGTATTTACATACTTAAAGTGTTTGGTTTTTCCAAAACCAAATATGGCTGAAGTTGTGTCGCAACCTGACATGGCATGAACAAAGGGCATCAGCTGGCACATTTGAGTCCCAAGACTCTGCTTTGCCGTGTGTACAGACAGGGTCCGAGATCTGGTCTTCATATACACTTTACTGCCCGGATCAACATGGTATAAGAGTACCACAAAGACATCTGTATCATCAGAAATGACGTGTACAGTATGGTTATCTTGTGCTAACTCCACAGCCTTTCTAACAATCACAATATCGGCATCCCCTTCAACACCAGCATGATGTACGTCAATTCCTGATGTCTGAAGGTGAGAAGAAATCAGGTTGATGATTTGCTGCTTGTTTTTCTTGTTGCAAAGAAAGCTTGCTGAATCTCCTGGAACAGGTGTTGTTGCTAATACCGTGATATCTGGCATTGCTGACCTGAACTGTTTCCTCCTCATCTGTTCCTGATCTTTGGTCGTGTGAACTTCGTAACTATCAAACACAACTGTTACTTTACAGTCTCTGTTGAATCTGTGGGACACAGCACTGACATAAGAGGTACACACATCTGCCATAGTTCCTACCTTTGGCCACTTCAGCT